GTTTTGAATAGCACTGGAAGCAGGGGGATATTTCTGAATCAAACATGTTCTCTGACATCATGTAGGGACCTTCTGGCTGAGAACGGCATACACAGCAATGCTTGGGGCCTGCCTGGCCAGAGGCCAGCAATAGTATATCTATTTCAGAGGGTTGTATAGCACCCCCTGCTGCAGCATCTCAGTGCTTTGGAGAGTTCAGGTCTCTCTTTAACATTTTTAATCCATGTATTATTTGACATTAGTGGTTTATTTATTTTAATATATTTCTGTCAGAGATGATGCCTAAGACAGAAGCCAACTCTAGATTCAGATTGGGATCCAGATGAGAAGTTAATATCCAGATTTTGGATTTGTGTTCTGAGCACTCACCCTGCCCCAAGATTGTGGGGTGAAGGGGAGATGGATTTCTCCCCCCTGCTTTTTACAGATCTAGGGCTTAGCTGTGACTTTAGATACAGAGCTGGATTTCAGCTCCCCTTAGGGCTTGGGGAGTTCATCTTGGGAGGTTGGCAGAGCCCGTTCCTCAGTGTAACTCATCTTCCTTTTAGCTGGAATGATTGCTCAAGAGAGTCACACACTTTGGAGTTTGACCCCACAAGCCCTGATAGTGAGAATGGCACAGACTTCACACCAGAGGAGAGAGGGACTGAAACAGTAACTAGGGCGAATGAGTTTAACTATCCCCCTACACATTTTTCTTCTCATTCCTTGTGAAACTGTTAACAGCTTCACTGGCAATTCCTGGTTCTCTGGCAATATTTAAGCTGCCCTGTGGGCTGGCAGGCGGTTGGTCGGTGGTGCCTAGTGCAAGTGAACAGAATGGGACCCAGCTGAACATGGTAAGTTCCTTTTCAGTGTCTTGCTTGAGTCTGGGATGGTCGCAGTTAGTAAGTGGGTTCAGTTCTGGTTGTGGACTCAGTTTTATCCCTTCCACGTCTGTAGTGTTTTTAGCAGGTGAAAGGAATTAGGAATGTTTAAAAATCCTATTTAAGAAGCAACAGAAGTGATACAATCCCGGCGGGTTACGAAACACCCACATGGGCTGCCCTCTCTCCCAGGCCATCGATAAAGGGCTGGCTTCAACCGATTCATTTCAATGCCACAGATGTTCTTTGCTCACAATCCCTGACTAGCGAAGCACTGCAGCTCATGCCAAGGGAACTACGGGAGACTCGGTTGTGATCTGAATTAGCAAAACAGTCAAACTTTCCACTAGCTCAAGGCGCACATAGAATTTGAAATCAGATGCATCAGAGTTTACTAACCTTCTCCCTGCCCCCAGGCAGGCTGTCCTACGGGGGATCCTATGGAAAGACCAGTAAGCAAATACCTACCACAGGATCTAAATTCCCCTTGGCATTCCACTTGGAGTATATATATATCTTCACTTCCTTTCTTTTCTGCTGTGAAGTACCACTGCAGTGTTGGCTGTGTGCTACCAACAGCTGCATTTGGGGGTGAAGCAACTCCTGTACAAAAGCCATAATTCTTGCATTGTGCTGAGCATGTGCAGCTCACCTTGATTTCAGTTGCAGCTGTGGGTGCTGGGCATCACTTGGGATTTCGGCCATTCTATGGTAAATGCTTTACGTGAAAGGGGCTATAGGCATGTCAGACAGAAGTAGCAGTACGTAGGATGTGTTAAAACGCTGGTGATGGAAAGCAGGGAATGGATCATCGCTCCCTTGGGAGTGGTGCTCACCAGTCAACTCTCCTCCAGCTGCATGAACCAATTGCGGCTACTCCTGAAGCAGGATATGCCGGAGGACTGAGCCCAACAAGGGGCACTGGCTAGAGCCGGCACCTTTGAATATTTGGCTAACGGGATGAAACCACTCCATTGTGCTGTCATGGGACACTGTATTGCGGTGCCGCTGCAACATTGCCCCAGTGTGTGAGGATGGTGGACAAGCTGTTGAGAATCCACACTCTCTCTGGGTTCTGTCACTCATCCAGGCATGAGAAACTAGCCACGCCAGAGACAGGCATGGCTGGGGACAATTCCAAGCAATTCTTTAGGGAGAAGGTAATGCTTGGGACTGGTAGTTGCTGACTGGTCCCTTGGAGAGGCTGCTTTGTTTCCTTGTACCGGTAAGTGGGCGAGGCCAGTGGCCGTGGTGAAACTGACACCCACGGACAAGGAACTCTTTTGGCTCTCACCTCCTCAGGGCTTTCTGAGGCAGAACTCGTTTGTCTGCTCCTCACTTCCACAGCACCAGGCAATAAGAGCCTCTTTGTCAGAGGAGCTGAGCACTGGGCCAGAGCACACGCTCCGGGGCCTTTTGGGTGAGACAGCCCACCTCTCCCGCTCGGGGCGTCGGTTTTTCCCCACACCCAGGCGGGGTGCCATCGTAAGGTGCCCCATTTTGGGCACAAGAGGCCAAAGGCTCCAGCCTGCGTGTGACGAGGGAGCGAGGAGCAGCAAAGGCTGGATCTGGCCATCCTGGAAAGGACCGCCCTGCAGTCCAGCTCCCTGACCCGTTCGAAGGGCGCAGAGCGAGCCCCGAAGAAGGGACGCTCTGTCCCCATTCAGAGAACCAGCTGCGGGGAAAGGAAAGGTAAATCACTAGGGAGTTGGACAGTGATGCGCTGGTGGGGAGTCATGGGGGCTCCTGGGAAACCCTTGTTAAAGCCCCACCATCAAACTGAAGGGAAGCTGCTTGGGGCAACTTCTCTGGCTATGGCTAAAGCAGCCCCATAGAGAGGACTTTCCCTGTGCTTCTGCAGAGCAAATGTGCTGCCTGTGCAGGGGACGCAATTGTACCGAATGGTAGATTTGTTCAGCTCGTTCCCCAGGGGAGGACACCTCTCCTGGAAGGTCTTTGCTCTGTGCCCGTGCTCCACATGGCACAAGCTGGCCATTGCAGGGCACTATCAGCTCACTCAGCGGAGCTCTCAGATCCCGGCCAGGACACTCCGTGGTTTGTTCACCCTCCGGTGCCACCTCCCCCTGGGCCGGGCTTACAAGAAAGAGCTTTTGTTTAAGTGGAAAACAAACAAAGATATCATCCCCTCCCCGCTCCCTGGGGAGTGGGTCTGTGGCAGGCAGAGGGAGGAATGTTTGTGGAAGCCTCTGGTTAGGTGTTGGAACCTGTCAGTGGTGTGCTTGGCAGCAGCAAAGCAACACAAGCAGGGTTTGCTGCTCATCCCTGGTGCCTCCGCACTTCTCCCCGCCCTGCTGCGGGTACATTGTCTCAGCGCCTGCTGTTGCATTCCCGTTTCCCCCTCCTGCCATGCGGGGTGGTAAGGGAATGGCACGGGCAGTGCCTGGACGCCAGCCATTTGGACTCACTTGTGAGGTGGTTCAAACATTCTCTCCTCCTGGGCCCAAGTCCATCTCCGAGTAAAGGCCAACAGAAAGACTCACGCTGTCCTTCCCTGGAATCTGGGCCGGGCCCTTTGATGGTAGCACAGAGCGACCAACCATCGGGATGCTGGGCGTTCACAATCACCCCCGCTCTCCTGGTTTCCATGGAAGGAATTGCTCAGCTCTTGTTTAGTTCATTCTTTCTTCTGGCTATTCACAGGCATTTCTGTGGCTGCGGCTTCTCTCCAAGGTCAGTGCATACAGTGCTGCCAAACCTGCAGCCACAGGGCCCCTCCAGACCACCCGTTCCCACCCCATCTGGCAGTGGTTGCTCCGCTTCCCACAGCACGGGGTAGGAGCTGCTGCACAAAGGTAACACGAGTTGCCCAGAGGAAAAGCCCGCCCACCAGTTTCAGACACCATCCCCTGCTGGCCCAACTCAGGATGGGGGCAGCATCCTCACTGCGCTGCCGTCGCTGCCGTAACAATACAGGTCCCTATAACTCTCTATCCCACTTTTCAACAGATAAATGCATCAAGAAAGAGAGGAACTGAAACCGTATGAGATGCAATGGAGACCCCTGGTAGCACTCCGCCCTCTGTCACTCCCAACTGGAACACATTTCCCCAACAGAACTTGGAGGCTGTGGACATTGTTGTTCTTGTTCTGTACTTTGTATTCGTCCTGGCGGTTGGATTGTGGGTAAGGAGATGCTCTTAGATCCTTTCTTATGTGTCCTGTTATATTTAAAGGTGATGGTTGCACAAGTAGCACTTTTTAATTTGTTTACTAAGGCTTTCATCAGGCCTAACTTCACTGGCATCAACTGACCAAATCAAAAGCACAACAGTGTTTTGTGTTTTTCCCACCTGTTCAACCAGATCTAGGGATCCTAGGAGTGCTGTTCACGGTCAATGTTTTTTTTAAACACTTGAGGATCTTTCGATGGAAGAGGTGTAGACATACAATGTAATATTATTGCTAATGTTTGGTATCTAGCCTGGACAGAATCCAACACACATGTTAGGCTCCTACAGAGCTATCCAGGAAATCATATCGGCTTGACAATAAGATTCTGATCGCAGATCCTGCATACTACAAGTACTCTTAAACTGTAGCTAGGCCATACATCAACTTTCTGGCATGGCTTCTATCACAGGAAAAGGCCAACCCAGCTGCCACGAGATTGGACAGGAATTGCTGCTCTCTCCAGATATGGGGGCAAAACTCATGTAGTGTGATATACGATAAGTGAAGACAATAAAAAGTGAGAGTCCAGAGTTCTAAGTCTAACCCTGCGTGTCCCTCTCAGGTACATCTGAAACAAGTGATGTCCCTAATCAGTGACCCAAATCTGCGTGCATTCCTCATGCATCTGGAGTGATCATGACGTTTATTGCAGAAAACACTGAACCAGGAAGCTGAGATTGTAAAAAAACTTCGCATGTGATACAGACCTAAACCTCTCCGCGGTGGCAGTTCCCTTCCTCCCTCAACAACTATTTCAGATCTTTGCCACACAGGATCCTGTAGCTGCAGCAATTGAGGGTTCTTCTGCCATAACAAACTCACCCACGTCCAGTGGGGATGACAGCATAGAGTGTCCCTCTGGGGAAACTGCTGTGCTCTGTAACGTTCTGAGCAGAACTTGGAGAGTTCTAAAGCTTTTGTCCTGTTTTTCTGCTTTCCCAGTCCATGTGGAAGACAAAACGAAGCACGGTGAAGGGTTATTTCCTGGCTGGAGGAAAGATGGTTTGGTGGCCTGTAAGTGTCTCCATCAAATTGCCTGTTCCACTATGTCACAGTGAGGCTGAACGGTGCTTTTGTCCCACTGGCATGTCTCTCTGTGGTCAGAACAGGAGAGCCTGTGACCTGCTTTTCCAAAGCCTATGGGGAGGGGGCACTTTCCATCCAACAATATGCCTGTCACAGCCCCCACCTCCTGCACCAAGACAGTTCCTGTTTGCTGACTTGCAAGACTCATCTATTTCCTTAAACGTTGGGTTGGGGCTTCCGGGGCATGGGTGGCTGGGTCTCTGGAGAGGAAGGGGCATTTAGCTGGTCTGGTAGGGGTAGGGCTTTGATTTGGGATGTGCTGATCATAATGAAGTAAATAAAGCCATAACCAGCTAACTGATCAGTTGGCGTTTCTCTTTGTTTCATCCCGTGCCCCTTTGCTTGTCTTTGAGGCTCCCCAGTGAAGGGACCGTGATGCCGCGGCTAGGAAGCGGGCTGCTTCCATGTAACCTGACAGATGAGTGACAGAGCAGGAGGGAAGGAATGAGGTCTGACAGCAGTACCGGTGTCAGCGAACGAATGGGGCGAAGGGAAAAGGCAGCAGGGCTAGGCGGGAGGGGATTTCAGTTCCCACGGATTGTGAGGAACCTGCAGTCTGGCCTGTGGGAACTGGGGCTCTGCAAAGTCTACATGGAATGGATCCAATGGCGAGCGAAGTGCAGTGGGAGACACTGGCCCACTCCATTTATTTACATATGGCTCACTTCTGAGACCCCTCCACCCCCCACCGCTGGGCTAGGGGCTCCTTCCAGGGTCTGAGAACGATGCCTTATGCCAGACACAGAACTAGCCTCCTCTTTATCTCTGCAGGTGGGTGCGTCCCTGTTTGCTAGTAATGTTGGGAGTGGGCATTTCATAGGCCTGGCTGGATCAGGGGCAGCGTCGGGAATCGCTGCTACGGCGTATGAGTGGAACGTAAGTTTTGCAGTGCAGGAACTGCTCTCGATATCATTGGAAGTTGGCTTGGTCCTTTCTAGCTTTTACCGTATTGCACCCACATGGCTCCATCTGCAGCTATGTAAGAGGCAGAAACTGTTTCCATATTAATTAATGATATGATATTTATTATATTTATATTTATTATTCTAATGAACGAGGATAGTTCAGGTTGATCTAACATATCAGAGTCAGGGTCCTCAATCTGCTCCACTCTGCTTGGCATTGCAGCTCATACAGGGGCACTGATGTTGGGCAACATTACATCCTTGGTCAGCATTGTAACAAACCTGTGCCTGTGTAGGTCTTTGTGGTTGTCACTATGCTGCATACAGCGGCTCCTTGAAACTTCACAGGAAGAGCAGGAATAGAATTCAGATCCCTTAGCTCCAAAACCCCATGACCTACTACATGAGCTAGAGAATCGCTATTAGCTATACAGGGCATTTGAGTCACAGCTGGACAGTTGTGTGTACACACACATAGAGGCATGTGTGGGCATTAGCCAACTGACAGCAGCATTTTTCAGTATCTCTGACCTGTGTTTCCTTTGCCTCCCTAGGGAATGTTTTGTGTTTTGGTGCTGGCCTGGCTATTTCTTCCTATTTACATAGCAGCTGGGGTAAGTCAATGGGCCACACGATGCGTATCAGTAACTTGCTTTTTTAACATCCTTTTAAATGCTGAACCTACTCCAAAGGCCTGTGCTGCGGGTAAAAGTTCCCGAAGCAGCAGCGTTCCAGGACTCCCGTGCAGGGGTGTTCTTCTCTTGATGTACTGACTGAGAGGAGAAGAGCCCATGAAAGATTTACCTTGGAAAGGAAATCAGTCAGGAGATCTCATGGATGAAAAAACATGGTTTAGAAAGGGGATGAAAGAGGGGACAGGAGGACCCACTCGTGTTGAGCCCATCGGAGCAATGCCATGTCCCACTGCCAAAAGCAAGAGCTACTTCCAAGCGCCTCCTCGGAAATGAGTCTTCAGGGACAGAGGCTAGAGTTCAGGTGGAAATGGTGCTTCCCTGACACAACGATGAGGAGAGAGGTTGTGGTGACACTTGACATTCCAGAGCCACTGCCAAGCGACTGGGGGCAAGTCTGGCTTTACCAAGTTGGGGCACAGGTGATGCCTTGAGAACTGCTAGGTAGGGCTAGCTAGGGGAACCACATGGGGTGCACAGTTCCCAGATGAAGTAGGGAACAAAGCAGATGGTGTTTTTGCAATTTCTAAAGGGTGTGAAGGCTCCTTTATCAAGTAGCCTCACTGGACCTTGTGCCAGACCCTAGAGGCAAAATATTGGTGACCATTCATTGTGTAAGAGTGTGGAGCTGAGAGGGACAGACATTTCCCAGCAGATATGCCAAGACACAGCAACTGGCCAGGGTTTGTCAATCACACAAGGTCTGTACCAATGCCTCTATATGTTACTTAGAGGAAGTTGTTGTATTCTGCCTCCTCTGATACAATCTCCTTCCCTGCAGGTTACAACCATGCCTGAGTACTTACAGAAACGCTTTGGTGGCAAAAGAATACAGATCTTCCTGGCAATTCTCTATTTGTTTATCTATATATTCACCAAAATATCAGTAAGTAAGTAAGAAGGAAAGAGGACTGACTAGAATTCACTTTGAAAGAGTATGTCTCTATTAATCTATGGGACTCATAAGTGCAACTGAGTCCTGGTCCCCTCGCTGCTATAGTGATAGTGATATTATGACAAAGTCTTGGAAGAGTGGAGAAAAGGGATGGATTTCAATTCTTTCAAGACATTAGGTGCCAGACTCCTGGATCCATAAGCTTTGCCATGAATGGTTTGAATGTTTGCTGCTGTGGGAGGGAGAGCTTGGTAATGTAGCAAAGCACACCAGTCCAGTCAAGGGGAAGGAGTTGTTTTCATTGGAGAGTTGTCTGTTAGATTTTTGGCATCTGCTCAGTTAATTTGACTTAGCCTCTCTGTACGTTTCTTCTGACAGCAGCAGGATATAGGAGCATATGGGAGTGGGATGCACCCTCCGGCTGGCAGAAGGAGCAAGTTTGCTGGCTGCCTAGTTTAGTAATTTATTGCTCCTGTTCGCTCTAATGCTTTAAATGAGTGATGTATTCACCCTTTGTGCAGGGCCTTGCCAGCTGTTAATTAACCACCACATAGTGCTTGAATTGACAAAATAAGAAGAAAAACTCCTAGCTGGGTGTTTTTCCTTTTATAGGCAGCAGTGGGAAGAGTAGACTGGCACATGCCTCTCGCCCCCCTCCCTCCTTGAAATTGAAGATGCCTATGGTGTCAGACTGGGGCCAGGTGGCTGGTCCTCGGTAGGGGTTTTTTTATGGAAACAATCAACTATTTTTTTCAAATCTCTGATGACAAGTTTTCTGAGGGAGAAATTGGATCATTCTAATCCCCAGTTGCTGGATAATGGGAATAATGGGACAGGCCTATTTATTTACAGCTGGCCAAAGTCATCAAGGCTTTGCACATATACATGCTTTCATGGTCTGCAGGTTGCATTTATACCGAACTCTTCTGCAGAGCAACCACCTCAGGCCACCGGGACACAAGGAGGCTGCATAGTTCCTAACCCACAGCTCTATAACAGCACACGGTGGAAACCCCTGCTGAGGTTCATCCAACGCCAGTCAGAGGAAAGGAATTTGCACTATGCCAACCCCTGGAGCTCTGGTTGGCTACTGTCCTCAGAACTCCCCATGCACAGGGCTCCAGCACATATGGCTGCTCCAGTTTCTGACCCTTGTTGTCCCCTCACTCTTTGGCTCTCATCCCGTGCCCACTGCTCCTGAGGAATGGAGAAGCGACCCCCACCAATAAAAGTAATTTCTTCTTTGAACTCAGCTCTCTCTCAATGGAAAACTCCCTCCCCCCCCGTGCAAAATGAGCATTTTCCTCATTAAACTGTATTTCAAAACTATATTGAGCTTGGCTGTTAATGAGGAGTGTGGAGAAGGAGGTGAGGCCAGATTAGGGTTTATGTGCCAGTTGGAGCAGCTGCCCTTAAGATTGATAGAAAACAGGGAGTCATGAAAAGTGAATAGGTCCTTGAGAAACACAAGGTTTGGTTGGCTTAGTGTACACTGTGCATCCACTCAGCTGTCTGGCATTACGCACAGAGCTGTCACCATTGTAACCCTTATAAATATCTTTTTCCATTAGGTTGATATGTATGCTGGGGCCCTGTTCATTCAGCAAGCCTTACGCTGGGACCTCTACGTTGCTGTCATAGGTCTGCTGGCAATCACTGCTGTTTACACTGTTGCAGGTGTGTCTGTGTGTTTCAGGTCATAGGGATGCAATGTCATACATCTTTGCTAATGGGTTGAGAACAGCCGAACAATGTACCATCCATCTCCCCGTGTAATAAGTATTCAGCAGTTTCCACAAGGTACCGTTCTATAAAGTACTTCCTTATTAGCCGAGGCACTAAATCTGTCCGCCTGCCCTTTACCAAGACGACTGTTTATAATGAAAAAACTAATTATAGTAACGCACTTGTCAAAAAAATTACTCTCCAGGTGAGAGCGGGTGAGTGTAATTTTACAAGGCTGGCGTAAAGTGCCTGCTTAAAGCCAGCCCAGATCTGTGCACAGCACTCTCTGGCTCAAAGTGGAGCCACACTGAAGGTTTTTGCTCAGAATTTTTCTTCCTTTTGGCTTTATGGGTGTATAAGTGAGAGCCACACACAGCACTAGGCAGGGTGATGTGGGAAATATCTTCACAACTTGGATGGAAATGGTGCCAGGAAGGAAGTGAAATGTGTGTCCAAAACAAATGGAAGTTTCTCTTCTTGCAGCGCTCACCCCCAGCGATATGGGCCATACAGCTACTTCCTTTTTGTTGTTATGTTGTCCTTTTGAAGCAGCTTCTGTTTCAATCGGGTCCTTCCTCCTTGTGGTTGTCAATGCATCTCCTGTAGAGATTTCTGCTATGGAGTTTGGGTTTCTAGTTACAAAACACTGACTCACTGTGGTTCAAAACATGCAACATTTCAGCCAAAGTATCAGCCCTGGGAGTTGGCCAAACCATCCCACAAAGTGGTCAAAACAACCCACAAAACATCCCATTGTGTCAGGCAAAGCATTCTGGCTATGCTACTGGCCAAGAGACTTTTGCAAAGCAGGAGATGTTATTACACAGAACAAACCCAGTTCCCGACAATTTGTCCCTCTGATTTTTTTTTTCTTTAGGTGGCCTGGCAGCTGTGATTTACACAGACACTCTGCAGACTGTCATCATGCTGGCTGGGGGATTAACTCTTATGGGGTTCAGTGAGTACTTCTCTGGGATTTTACTGCTAAAAATACATTTGTTCCTGTACCAAATCACTGCAAATATGCATCACTGGAACAAGCCATTTAACGTTTATACAGTGCATCTTGTGAAATAGACATTCATGTTAGAATATTTTCTATACAAATAATCTTGTGATAGTTCTTTGTAGGGTGAAAAGTGTAGGGGTGTTCCATGAAAGATATGAACCCCCCCAAAAAATAAACGGAAAACACCCTGTGGTCTGAGATTCATATCAAAGCAAACAATTACCTCCTCTAGCCAAATAACATATGGTATTAAACCAGGTTTGCCATTGTAGGTCCTGATCCAACTCCCAGTGAAGTCTGTCAGAGTCTTTCCATTGACTTCAATGGACACTGAATTGGGATCATACAGAGCAAACTGCCGAGAGTGAAAATAATAGCATGAACCTGATCAATGTGGTAACTGCTTCCTATTCCCATTTTAGGCTTTGTTAAAATTGGTGGGCTTGAAAGTTTGCAGGCCAAATACTTTAAAGCCATTGCTAGTAGCCACAAAGGAAACAGTAGCTGTGGCTTACCAAGAGAAGATGCCTTCCACATTTTCCGAGACCCTGTCACCTCTGACCTTCCCTGGCCAGGAGTTCTGATTGGAATGACCATCCCATCTCTGTGGTACTGGTGTACAGATCAGGTAGATCAATGTTTCCTTCACAAGGTTAACCCTCAGGTTGGGTTTTGAGACATGCCACCTGGCTGGCTGTAGAACCATGCAGAACTTTCATCGCAAGCAACTAAGGCCAAGTTTCATTACAAGACCCAGGCTCGGGCCAGAACCTGGGCTGGTTTACTATTTCTGTGGAAACCATATGAAATCTGATGATTTCAACCTCAAACCAGACAAAATTTGACACCTGCAGCTAAGTTAAATTAGAGTTTTGAAGCTCATTTGAACTCAGATATGTAACATGAGGGGCATGTAAACCCCAAACTATAAAGTGGGCATGTCTGAATTCTGTGTGAACCCACCCCCTTCAGGCTGTGCAGGGCTCCAGTTGCTGTCTCTCCAATTGTAAACAGCAGTGCCAGGAAGAGCAGAATCGTAACAAAATCCGTGTCAGATATTTCTGGGGGATTTGTTTATCGAACTCTTTTTACAGAGTGAGGGTCAATTTAGGGGATGTCAGCAAGTTTACCCGTGCCCTGGTTTGTAAGGCAGTAGTCCTGTTGACCTGACAAGACGTGTCAAGGCGTATAAGATACACAGGGTCCAAAAAAGAACAAACTGTGGAGAAAAATGATGACAGGGATTTCTATGGGTTAGAAGTGAACACAATGAGATTTCCCTTGCATAAAGACAAGAAGCGGTAGTTAAAGCACCACAGGTGAGTTAGCTAATTCACCGCATGATGCTACAAGGTTCGGCACGGCCGCTGGGAGTTAAAAACACTCAGCACTTTGCAGGATCAGATCCTTCATGATGATGATGGTCTGAGTTCCCTCTCAGTTAAATCAATGCAATCTAGAACAGAGTCTGGCCCTAGAGGTCCGTAATGGTGCTTTTGGAACCAGCATGTCCAATTATAAATAGAAACATACATCACATCATCTTGCATCTATGTACTCTCCCTGCAAAGCACTGGATCAAACTATTTTCCTGATTTACAGGTCATTGTTCAAAGGTCCCTTGCAGCTAAAAACCTCTGTCATGCCAAAGGAGGTTCGTTGTTGGCCTCCTATCTGAAAATTTTGCCTCTCTTCATGATGGTGATGCCAGGCATGATCAGCCGGGTTCTCTTCCCAGGTAAGAGTTGAAGGAGAGAAATATTCCTTGCGTCTGTCTCTACAGATTGTGATTTCTATATAGTGCAGAAGTGACAGACCCGCCAGAATAAGGTTGTAGCAGCTCAATTGCCAGGAGCATGGACTTGCAGTTCATAATAGACTTTTTTTCAGATAACACTCTATTAATCTACACTCCCCTTGCTCCCCAGGGACCACACCCCTTCATCCTGAACACGAGTCCCAGGTCTCAGGTGCTTCCTGAGGCAACCCAGCTTTAAGAGCTGCCCCGATGATGTTCCCTCTGGACCCCATGTTTGTGGCACTCAGAAAAGAACAAATCCTAAAGTCTGCTCCCTGAATGTTCTAAGCCACAGAGAGAGAGAGCATGCACAGCACATGTCTGGAGGGAGTCACTGTTTTCTCACGGTGAACAGCATTAGTTTTAAAAAAGGACAAGGTTCAGAGAAGAGAGTCAGGCATACAAGACAAATGAGCTGTTAAGGCAAATCTTGACTAAACCTACTTCAATTGGCAGAAGCCTAAAGATAAGAAAGGGGAAAGCTTAGAGCTACTCTGGTGAATGTGTGTGTATTTCATTATCTGCTGGATGGGTTTCACTCCATGGTTACCGTCTGGATGTATTTGTTTCTTATAACTAATGGATTACTTTCCCCCGTGTTTATTGTAGACCTGGTGGCTTGTGCAGACCCAGAAATCTGTCGGAAAATCTGTGGCAACCCATCTGGCTGTTCTGATATTGCTTACCCCAAACTGGTCATAGAACTGCTGCCTCTCGGTGAGGAGCTTCACAGCCGCTAACTAACATGGACAGGGCCTACACCAACCAAAACACAGACTGTAGGAAATGTTCGGGGAGGAGAATAGACTACAGTCATGATATTGGGGTTGATATTGGGCCTGATGGTATAGTGACGAAAAAGGAATAACATGCAACAGGGCGCGCAGCTGCTGTGAGAGGCCTCTGCTGGGGAGCAAGGCATCCAGCATTCAGGAAGTCTACTTCTATCACCTGGGCACGACTAGTTCCCTAAAGGATGAGGACATCGTAGTGTCCAAGTGTACTGAGTTACCTGTAACCCGAAGGGGAGCACGATCACTATAACACAGGAGTGAGCAGATGGATCAGGTCTCCTCCTTGCATCTCAGCTGCCTCTCTGAGCCAGCCAGCTACCAGAGGAGAGGAAAGACTCTGCCCATGCAGACAGAGTTATAGTGGTCCAAGAAGAAAGACTGACAAGTTCCTATGGCCTGTGAGGTCACCTGCTGTCCAGGACGCTTGGGAGGGCAGTGTAGGCAGCAGTCCCTCAGCACAGGGGAAGGGCTGAGTTCAGAAGGGAGCTGCAGCCGTTAGTCTGAGAGGTTTGGCTGATGGGGGGGTGAAGTTGGACCCTTAGCAGTCTGTACATTGTTACTAGAGCGAACATGCCTCTCCCTTTGTTTTCAGGGCTCAGGGGCCTCATGATGTCAGTGATGATTTCAGCACTTATGTCCTCCCTGACTTCCATCTTTAACAGCTCCAGCACCATATTCACCATGGATCTCTGGCGGCACTTCCGGCCCCGTTCTTCTGAGTGGGAACTTATGCTTGTCGGCAGGTACGGAACTCTAGGGCATGGCGTGTTCAATCACAGAGCCTGTCCTGGGGATCTTTCACACCTCACTCTGCTCTCTGGTGCCCTGGTGTAAACTGAGAGCAACTCCTTCATCTTCAGAGCCCATTGCTCCAGACCTACCCTGCAATAACTGAGAGCAGAATTTGGCCCTTCCAGTCCATGGTATTTTTTTTTTTCTCTTGCCAATGTTACATTTTCTTTCCCTGGTTGCTCATGAGAATGAATCTGGCCCAGCGAATGGATGTAAGTTATAGCAGCAGAACCAGGATTTAGGAGGCAGAGGTGGCAGAAAGGCACACGAGGGCAACAGCATCTAGATGTGGGTGTTTGTGTGAGGCTGAGCTCTAGCGGAAGACAGGCAAGGGGACATAGTACAGATGAACAAAGGCTGGATGGTGGGGAGCACCACTAGGCAGATTTCAGAGAGAGGAGGGAGGCTCTCCTGAGAGGGGAGACCCTCATGCAGAGGAAGGGGCAAAGGCCAGCAATAACACTGTCTTTTTCTTGAGCAGGGTGTTTGTGCTGCTGCTCGTGGTGGTGTCGATTCTGTGGATCCCGCTGGTTCAGGCCAGCCAAGGGGGACAGCTATTCATTTATATCCAGACAATCAGCTCCTACCTACAGCCCCCTGTGGCCATGGTTTTCATCCTGGGCTGTTTCTGGAAGAGAACGAATGAAAAGGTAACACTTGGGCAGGGTCTGACACAGTGTGCTCTGTGTGCCGGGTAGGAGCCTGTCCTTCCGCTGTCTACACGGACAAATAGCCAGGCAGCTAGAACAGCTGCACCGTGTCGCTGCTCTGCCTCTCCTTGTGGGCGCTCTGCGGAGTGACTGGACTCATGTTTGGGGCATTCTGTTGGGGCCACGCAGCCCATGCAGCAGGGAGCACTTCCTACTGCTCTCAGGCAGCTCCCCTCGGCTGCTCTAGGAGAGAAGGCAAAGGTTGCCAGGTGCCTTTCACAAACCTAGGAGCAGAGATTTGCAAGCCATGGCCTTGCACTGGTGTAACCCAAGACTTGGAGTCCATGGGGGTGGAAAGTAAGTCGGAGGCGGGGAAGGGGGGAGTCGCAGTGGCACAGGATGCCCACAACCTCCACTCCTCTGGGGAAACTGGAGCTGGCAAGTGCAACCCCAAAAGAGGGCAGCGCTGGCTGGGGAAGGGTTGTATCCAGGTTCTGGAGCATCCTCAGGGCAGCCTTTGCTGGCAGGACTCCTATGAAGCAGCAGCCACAGTTAAAGCAGCCCATGACTAGGGCAACTGTTGGGGTGGGTAGTGCTGCAGAGGTGGGAGCTGGTGGCTATTGAACAGCACCAGCAGGTCTAGATAGTGGCTCTCCTCCACCGGAAGGGCAGGTCAATAGAAAGTGGGGTGCTATGTGTGTATAAGGGAGAACAGCATAAGGAGGAGAAAATGAAGGGGATCTCAGAAACCCTCCCAAAAGCCCAGTAAACCTCCCCTCCCCGCAGAGAATGTGCTGATCAGAATGTCACGGTTGTGACTGTAGCATATCTCACTCCTGCCAGCACTCAGCCCGAGAGCCAGCGTGGGCTTCGTCGCCAGATAGGATGTAGACATATGTTTCCTGTTCCATCAAGGACTGATCTTCATTTCCTAGGGGGCGTTCTGGGGCCTGCTGACTGGCATGCTGCTGGGCTTCATCCGGCTGGTGCTGGACTTTATCTACTTGCAGCCCCAATGCGGGGAGCCAGACCGCCGGCCGGCCGTGGTGAGATATGTGCACTACCTGTACTTCTCCATGATCCTCAGTGTCATCACGACAGTCACTGTGGTGGTCGTGAGCCTGCTCACAGAACCTCCCTCGGAAGAAATGGTGAGTCTCCCCCAGCAGGTTTCTTTCACTATTTTTTAATGGACGTCCAGTAAGGCCCCCCATTATGCACCCATGGGGATGGATGTTCTCATTCCTCCTGTACACATGTGAACACTTGTAATACTGTATCAGACCACGGGTCTGTCTAGTCTGGCATTCTGCCTCCCTGCTGTGCTAGGTGACAGCACTGGTCCCTCAAGTCCAGAATCCCACCTCCAGGAGCAGCCAACACCTGGATGCTCTGGACAAGGGTCTCAAACCCCAATATGTGTATTTTAATCCATGACAAGTTTGCTTCTTTCATCATATTATTGTCTGAGAAGCTTTGGCCACTGGGTCACCTTATTAACTTTCTCAAAGAACTGCAGTTGATTAGTGAGATAGTTTTTCCTTATGGAATCCCTTACCTAGATCTTGTCTGAGCACAGTGGAAGCAACCCGCCTGCTTCCTCTCGAGTAGGTTCCTGCCAGTCTGCCTAACTCCACAATGCATACAGAGACTATAAAACCTCATCCAGTGCTGGATCCATGTGTGATATCCCAGATACTATGAGATGAAAGAACATCACAATGACCTTCTAAAACTTATACACTCTGTTCTCTGCTTTTAGTTTTGTATGACACATCACAGCAGAGTTCTAGTAGTAACCCTCATCATCAGGACCGTAGCAGTGAAGTAAAACAGGCAAGTTTCAGATCAAGGTTTAATCTGGATAAACAGCACTTTTCTTGCTTCATTTGGCCTCCTCGTATCTATTTCCATAGTACCTTATCAGCGCTGGATGTTCCCCAGCTCCAATGGGGCTGCCCAGGTGGGGGACCAGAATTTGGTCCCAAGTGTTTAGAAAATATAAGAACCCCTCAAAGCTGCCTTACGGCTGAGGTATTCCCTTTAAACAAACATAGGAGCAGTTCTCTTTAACAATGCTCTTCATGCCGACAGATCAGTCATCTCACCTGGTTCACACGCTGGGATCGACCAGCCAAGAAACACCCAGCAGTCAGTACTTCTCCTGATACTGGAAGTGGCGTATGTAAGTCTGAGTGTCTGCCTGCCCAGCTCGATATTAGCGTTGTTCCTGAAAATATTTCCAATGACAATACAAGTAAGTGCCCTGTTACTATATACAGCATGCGCTTCAATTAATATCAGTCCTATGCATTTTGTAAAGGTTATAGAGGCAGGAAATGTTAAATGAATCTTCCTGCTACTTTCAGATTTCTTAGGTTACAAAGTAGCAGCCGTGTTAGTCTGTATCCGCAAAAAGAACAGGAGTACTTGTGGCACCTTAGAGACTAACAAATTTATTTCAGCATAAGCTTTCGTGGGCTACAGCCCACTTCTTCAGATGCATAGAGTGGAACACACAGACAGAAGATATTTATATATACTGAGAACATGAAAAGGTGGAAGTATGCATACCAATTGTAAGAGGCCAATCAATTGAGATGAGCTATCAGTAGCAGCAGAAGAAAAAACTTTGAAGTGATAATCGAGATGACCCATAGAAGGTGTGAGGAGAAGTTAACATGAGGGGAAAAAAATCAATTAGTGTAATGACCCAACCATTCCCAGTCTCTATTTAGGCCTAAGTTAATTGTGTCTAATTTGCATATTAATTCGAGTTCAGCAGTCTCTCTTTGGAGTCTGTTTTTGAAGTTTTTTTGTTGCAAAACTGACACCTTCAAGTCTGTCACTGAGTGATTAGAGAGGTTGAAGTGTTCTCCCACTGGTTTTTGAATGTTATGATTCCTGATGTCAGATTTGTGTCCATTTATTCTTTTGCATAGAGACTGTCCAGTTTGGCCAATGTACATGGCATATATCACGTTGGTAGATGTGCAAGTGAACGAGCCCCTGATGGTATGGCTGACGTGGTTAGGTCCTATGATGGTGTCACTTGAATAGATATGTGGACAGAGCTGGCATCGGGTTTTGTTGCAAGGATAGGTTCCTGGGTTAGTGTTTTTGTTGTATGGTGTGCGGTTGCTGGTGAGTATTTGCTTAAGGTTGGGAGGCTGTCTGTAAGCGAGGACTGGTCTGTCTCCCAAGATCTGTGAGAGTGAGGGATCATCTTTCAGGATAGGTTGTAGATCTTTGATGATGCGCTGGAGAGGTTTCAGTTGGGGGCTGAAGGTGGCGGCTAGTGGCGTTCTGTTATTTTCTTTGTTGGGCCTGTCCTGTAGTAGGTGGCTTCTGGGTACTCTTCTGGCTCTGTCAATCTGTTTTTTCACTTCAGCAGGTGGGTATTGTAGTTTTAAGAATGCTTGATAGAGATCTTGTAGGTGTTTATCTCTATCTGAGGGATTGGAGCAAATGCGGTTGTATCTTAGAGCTTGGCTGTAGACAATGGATCGTGTGGTGTGTCCTGGATGGAAGCTGGAGGCATGAAGGTAAGTATAGCGGTCAGTGGGTTTCCGGTATAGGGTGGTGTTTATGTGACCATCGCTTATTAGCACAGTAGTGTCTAGGAAATGGACCGCTTGTGTGGATTGGTCTAGGCTGAGGTTGATGGTGGGATGGAAATTGTTAAAATCATGATGGAATTCATCGAGGGCTTCTTTTCCATGGGTCCAGATGATGAAGATATCATCAATGTAGCGCAAGTAGAGTAGGGGCGTTAGGGAACGAGAGCTAAGGAAGCGTTGTTCTAAGTCAGCCATAAAAATGTTGGCATACTATGGGGCCATGCGGGTACCCATAGCAGTGCCGCTGACTTGAAGGTATATATTGTCCCCAAATGTGAAATAGTTGTGGGTGAGGACAAAGTCACAAAGTTTAGCCACCAGGTTAGCTGTGACATTATCGGGGATACTGTTCCTGATAGCTTGTAGTCCATCTTTGTGTGGAATATTGGTGTAGAGGGTGTGGATTGCCACAGGCACGCAGGGGCGAAAGAAAATGCAGGCCTGTTATTTACCAGGCTGCACGTGGCAATAGACTATATTGGTAAAGGATGCAAGGAGAGTATGGGTCACGATGCAAACTGCAGACACACACACACACACAACTAAAATTAATCAATTTAAAGTTTTATTGGGGATAATTACAAGGGGTAAGGGAGCAGCGTTTGATTAGCTAGTAGAGTTAATGAAACTTAAAACACACAATGACTAAAATATCTACTAACAATATTTATAAACAAAGATGCAGCAATTAGTAATAACTGATACTTACAAATACAAACCAACGCATAACGACCGGCAAACGTAGAAACTCTGTTTGAAACACATGAGCTGAGAGAGAGGCTTCGAGGTGATCAGGCTCGGTTATGGGTGTACACAGGATACACAGGATTCATTTTTCTTTCTCCTCTCCCTGCCTGCACACGGCAGGCAGCCCATAAAGTACCAACTATGACATCATAGAAGTGTCATAGGGGACGGGGCCCAAAACCTGTTTGTGTTCATTTCTGATTGGCACAAGCAAAGTTTACACCAAGTAGGGGAGCAGGTGCCTCAAAGTCTGGCTTCGCCCCCAAAAGGTGAGGAAATGCATATTGCTTTAGAATGAGTGCAACACTGAATGACAAAAGAAGAGGCCAGGGCAATACCGGTATGGGCAAGTTTTTCAGGATGCAGACAGGAACTCATCTCAGCAGAGGGATTCTACATCCATAGTGGCCAGAATGGTGTTTTCTGGAAGATCACCGATGGATTGTAGTTTCCTCAGGAAGTCAGTGGTGTCTCGAAGATAGCTGGTAGCGTAGGGCCTGAGGAGAGAGTCCACATAGCCAGACAATCCTGCTGTTAAGGTGCCAATGCTTGAGATGATGGGGCGTCTAGGATTTCCAGGTTTATGGATCTTGGGTAGCAAATAGAATACACCTGGTCGGGGTTCTAGGCATGTGTCTGTACAGATCTGTTCCTGTGCTTTCTCCGGGAGTTTCTTGAGCAGATGGTGTAGTTTCTTTTGGTAATCATCAGTGGGATCAGAGGATAATGGCTTGTAGAATGTGGAGTTAGAGAACTGCCTAGCAGCCTCTTGTTCATATTCCAACTTATTCATGATGACGATAGCACCTCCTTTGTCAGCCTTTTTGATTATGAAGATTTCTGTATCTTCAAGGTGCTGACAGACTTTTTACCTACAAAGACTAAAGATCAGGGCTATGTTTCTTCTGTATCTTTTAATGGTAGCACATATCCTTGCAATGGAGCAGGGAACCCATTATTTCTGCACCAGGGAATAATGCTGTTAGTATCTGCTGCAGGGAGAGTTGGTTGGAAAATGGGAAAAAAATTGCTAAAGTTTTCACAAAATTCCATTTCTGTTTTCATTGGTATTTTCTGACCAGCTCTAGTGGCAGGGGAAACACAGAACCCTGAGTTGAGCTCTTGGCAGGTTGCAAAGGAGAGTTTGCAAACATTTTTTTTAATGTGGCTTGATGTACCAGTGTTAGATACACACTTGTATAGATCCTGATCCTGCCCTTCTCACACGCCCAGAGATGATTGTCAGGTTTTGCAAAACTTGCACTATTGCTTAGGTAGCTTTGCAGCCTTGGCCGATGCATATTCCTTTATGTGCAATGAAATTAGTATGAAGTGGAGCAATGAGTCAATGCACTAGACTAGAATGCTGATTCCCAGCTGCTGGGACTTTAGTCTTTTGTGACTGGCATTCTAACTTCCTCCCTGCGCTCTCCCCAACCCCGTGCACCACTGTTACCTGCTTACTGTTGGGTTATGCATGCCCTAATCTTCAGTAGAGTTTGGGGAACTTGCATTCACAAGCTCTAACCCTGGCCCTAAGTGGGTTCAAGCATACAGAAACAAATGGAAGATGATGAGCACAGCCATGTTTTTAGACTTGGCTAATTGATACCATTCCTTAAACTGTTTGGAATGGCAGGATTTGAATTCAGAGCTTTAGAGCAGGGTAACACTGAAGTGACAAATATAAATGACTGTAATGGCTACCTAGAGCTTGGTGGAGTGAACGTGTCACTTTGAAGAGTTCTGATATGTTTTCTGAGTAGTAATGTCAAAAATGATTTGTACAAGATTGTAACACTCTTTGTGTTACTGGAGTTTGTTCCATGGACAGAATTTTTACCTCACTAATTACTATCATTGTAGGCGTGACTGGTACTCGGAAAGGGTCTAAACCGATGAGAGTCTTCTTGTGGCTCTGTGGGATGGAGAGCAAACAAGAACATCCTCCTGAGAACACAGCTCCTACCGGCCCTGAACGTGCTGTGGCTTCATTGGATGAGCAGCCTTTGGTGAAACACATTCTGAACATCAACTTGATACTATGCGTATGTGCCGGCATCTTCCTCTGGGGCTACTTCGCATAGCAGCTTGCCAGATGATTCAAGGGACACCGTCAGCTAATCTTAGGCCCCCAAATTAAGATTGGTGTAAATAATAATAATATAATCAATGATGGTTCAGTGTGATTTGTAATCCATTCTTACATTTCATAGGAAAAAAACGGAAGTATTTTAGTTACACTTAACGAAGGGCTCGCTCCTGAGAGTTGCTGAGTTTCTTTACCTTCGGCTCAGCGCCAATGAGATCAGGCCCCAGACAGTGATAGGCTATACATGTGTAAGAGGTGGGGGGAGGTTTGGATGGCAGAAGGGGTTTGTTTGGTTATGTTTCACATCTTGATAGTTTTGCACTTAAAGCACTAGGGACTCAGGATATCTGCCTGACCTGTGTAAAGCACTTAATTTCTCTGTGCCTTAACTTCCCCATCTGTAAGAATGGGTAATAATCCTTCCCCACCTCCAAGCGGTGCTGTGAGGATCAATATTTATGTTTGCAAGGTACATAGATACTGTAGTGATGGGGACAGTATTGGCATATAGAGATACTATATCCATTAAGGAAAACAAAACATTACACCCAAATGTATATACATGGATAAATGTGTGTGTGCCTATGTTGTACAGGTCATAGGTTCCATTGGCTTTTCTGTAATACAGTTGGCACTAAAATTAACATAGATTTGTTTAAAATTGTTTGCATACATTTTTAAAAAGTCAATGAGTTTCTTAGCGTGGGAAGTTAAATCTTCTGCAGGGCTGTAAATCCAAACACAAGGCTGAGGGTAGTGTATGTGGACTAGAAAATGAAACTGACAATTTCACTGTCAAATGTGAGTGTATGGCTCAAAAAGTAAAACAGCATCAGTGTTGAAGAGTGTATTAGGCTGCTTAAATCTTTTCAGATAATAATGTCGGGGTTGTTGGTAACACGCATACAGAGAGATTATCATATGTGTACAGAAGATTTTGACAGTCTCTCTTTAGGTTTTTTTTTTAATAAATTAGGTATTATTACAACCAGAGTATTTTATGAGCAATGTAATGTATTGTCCTTTTAAAAATCCCTTGCCAGTGTTAATAAAAACATATTTATTATTCTCCATGGAGTCAGTAGCCAGCAGGAAAATGTATCCATTGATTGCATTCCTAGTCGTTTTACCTCAGTCTGTTTCCTCTGCAGCACAATGATGAGTTTAAGGGAAGGGCATGTTCATTTGCTCCTGTTAACTGGAGCTGTACGGTAATAAAAACTCAGCGCTGTGCTGACAGGAGTACTAAAGAATCACTTCAGCATTGCAAATAACTGGAGCTCGAAGGCAGGGCCCTTCCCTTTGTGCCAATAGCCCGAGAGCCTGCGTGTGAGTGTCTGCACCAGGCACCAGCGCCTGTCGCTGGGGCAGCTGCGGTTTAGTCCCAGCAGCTGCTGCGGGCTGAAGAT